CCCGGGCCGGAGCGCGGCCCCGGAGGGGGGGCCGGGGTCGGGCGGAGGGGGCTGGCATCAGGGGAGGGGCTGCCGCCGCCCCGGGCTGGGCAACTTGTTGGCATCCCCCTTTGGACAGATGTGGGCGCACAGCTGGGAAGGGAAGGGGCTGGTGTCAGCTCGGCAGTGCAAAGGTTGGGTGATAACCGCAAATGCAAAAAAGCAGTGCGCTGTGGCTGCGTGCGTCTGCCAGGGTTTTTTTTTTTTAAATGCAGCGTTAAATAATGATGTGTGCTGCACATAATGCTGGTGTGAATCCCGGCGTACCTCGTAGGCAGAGCGTTTCTGTGGTACCTTTTGTCCGAGTGATATAAAAATTCCTGAAGGCTGTTAATCCTGTTGTCTGCACAGAACATCAGAAGGTTACAAAATAAGATTGGGAAACTGAGGTTTGCGGAGTTTAATGACTGAAGTTGTACAGAATGTTTGTTTGGGGGGGAGGTGCTTTAGACCTAAATCTACAGAAATTTATGTGTTTATGAATATGTAAATAAAGTAACCTTAAGTAACTCCTATAAATTTTGTAGACCCAGGAAATTTCAGGTGAGGAGTTCTTACTAAAAAAAAACCCACTTCCATTAACGTATGAATGAATGAAGCACATGAAGGAAAACAGTCTGTGCTCATGTAGAGGGAGATCTTGATGGTTTGGTTTTACAAAATACACCTAATAAGTGAGAAAAGTAACCGTAAACAAAATACAGAGGAAGGAGCATTTCTAGTGACATAATTTTGGAAGTGACCGAACTATACTCTCTTTCATTTTTCTCTCCCCTTCCCCCCCCGCCCCGGCCATTTGTTTGGATGGAGGTGAGAGAACCTTAGGTTGAGGATACATGTTAAAAATGTATCTTCTAGAAAACTGACAAAAGCGGGTTACTTTAAATTAAGCTTGCTGTGGTGGAATAAATACTGCGCACAACTTGCAATGATACCTGCATCCAGGATCAATGGCACCACATGGCTCAGTGCCACATACCTGCAGACTGTAAGCTCTTCTTGGCAGGTGCTGTGTATTTATTTCCGTGAAGTGTGTAGCTTCTGCAGGGTACTGTAAAACAAATAGGAGATGACCATCTTCTTATGGAGTGATGCTGGCGTCATGTAATTATCTGTTCATAATGGTAGTCATAGATTTGATTGTTTCATGATGTAGCGCAGCTTCTACCAAATTTATTTTATTTAAATGCGGTGGGTATGGCATTTTGATGATAATAAGGTTACTTTTTATCAAAGCTTGGAAGATTTCCCTATATTGACTGTTTTGCAACAGATGCTCCTGTAAAGTCAAGATGTTTTTATAAAAGACTATTTGAGTTCTGTTGAAGCTTTGGGGGATAATCACAAGGGACGGTGGCTAAACACATGGTTTAAAAGATTTATTATAAGCAGTTAAAAATCATACATTGGTTTTAGGTATCAGTGGACCATACATAATATAGGTCCAGTTGCGTATAAAGAGCACTGATTATGACTGTAGTATCAAGTGAAGAGTTACAAAATTATGTAGCACTGAGGAGAAAGCATCTATAACTGATTTTAAAAAAACAAAACAAAACAAAAAAAACCCAAAAAACAAACCAAACCACCAAAGTTAGACTCTTAAACTGAGAGGTTACAAAAATCTATCTTGATAGTAAATTTGTAATACAGAAAGAATGTGAAATGTGTTCAGTGTAGTCAAATCAAAGGTAGTAAAGGAGAGAATGAGGGCAGAGAAGAAAAAGAAAGTGATGATACTCTGGTGTGTGTACTTGAAGATTATGCGTGACATTTAGTGATATTATATGCATACTCAGTATGAAAATGTAGCAGTTTTCTGATTAGTAGGTTGTTTCTGCTACTTGATCCAAATCTGTACTGTGACTACAGTCATACCACTACAGCAGGTACTTGAAATGGGCACTCCATAATAATACCAGCACTCACAACTTATGGAGATGAATGGGGTTTGTTTCTCTACTTCTATGTTTCATATTTGACCATGAGTAGATACTAATCCTTATATCCAAAATGTTGTGATTGTGATTTATGTTTAAGCCACTACTGTCTAACTAGCCTTCTCTAAAGTTTTAGTGAAGGCAAAGGCGTGTAACCGTGGGAGGGCAAATCCAGGTAGCATGTGTCAATGTTACTGTACTGTCTGGGCATTCAAACAAATGGACAGAAGAGCCTTGCCTTTTTGGCAGTGAATGGAAGTAGAAATTTCAGTTAAAGGTGAAGCTGCTATCTCTAAGATTGAACTAATTCATCAGATCCACATCTGTGTGTGGACTGAGTGTGAGAAATTGATTATTTTTTGACGTAGTGCTTGGTAGAATGAGAGGCACAGATTTGCTTGAGAATGGTGTTGGTTGTGTGCTAGTTGGAGATCAGCGTAAAGGATGGAGGATGACAGCCCCACCAAAGCCATTTGACACACATGTAAGAGGAACAGTCTCCTCTATGTGCCCAACTGTGTTACAAGAGAAAAGCTTTGTTTGGATTGCTGTTCTAGATCTTTCTTCTTAGTACTAGAGTACTAGTTAGCTATAGGAATGGAGAAGAACTTGTTTTCTGCTTCTGTGTGTATCCTCCAACAAGGTATTATGTGATAACTTGTCACTATGTTAACCCTTCCTTTGGCTCTTATTTTGTCTTGCACCAAGTTAACTGAAATGGCTACTTGGAAAAGCTAATGCATATTTGATAGGCTTCTTGTTCCAGTTTTTCCGCTGTTGTTTTCAGTCGTTTGGTGCATGGGAAGATACTTGGTGTGAACAAGAACCTGTGATTTTCTCTGCAGGTTTGGGAAGGCAGATTTGCACACCTTTCTCTTGTATTTTGCTATAGGAAAAAAACTTTACTCCTCGGGGTTGAAAAGCCTTATAAGTACTATATCTTTTCACTTCTTGGAAAACCTAAGTTTGCTATTCAGCAAAGGAGGCATCCAGTTGACAGCTGTGTCATCTTGAGTCCTTAAAGTTAATGAATGAGGGAATGAATGTTAATATACTGCAGTATTCCTTCTGTCTTGTTAGGGGAGAGAGGGAATAAAAGTAGTTATATCCTTCCCGCCCCTGACAGCTAAAGACAAGTATGGGAAGGTTTATCATAAAAACTTGGCTGC